GACGGCAGGAATGTTAGGCAAAAATCTTTGTTGCTGTCAAACTGAGGTATTAGTGTCCACTAGGGATAGATGCTTTACAGTTCTTGAGTGAAATCTGTTCGGAAAGTTTTACGGGGTGCAGCACATGGCAAATACCTTCACCAATGAAGTGAGAGTTATACCCAGGAACAGAAGACAAAAGACATTCTCATTGCTAGAGAATATAGCATATTTCAAACACAGCACTCCACTGGGTGGGGCAGAACAGGGGAAGAAGTCAGTATGTACATGAACACAACATCTGAAAAACCCCAAGTCAATACAATGGAATCTCGCTTCATGACTGTGTACACAGATTTCACATTTATGGCTAGCAAGCAACTACCCTGGTTCTGAGAAGAGTTAGTGGACACTTACCTGTGGAGTTGTTATATAACTGTTCTCCAAATCTCAGGCTTGCCTGGAAGCTAACACCATGAAGTAAGAGACAAACTTGGTGGACTGCTGTGTCTTTACATATGCCCAGTATGGGAAAGCTCAAAAAGAACACCTGCCAGCACTGCACATCAATTGCACCACCTGGGGTGGTGGAAGGTGTCCCTGCTCATGGCAGGGGGGCAGAACTGGATGATGTTTAAGGTCCCTTCCAACTCAAACCATTCTGTGATTCCTGACAGCCTGCAGGAAGCACATGCAACAAACGCTGTTGTCACTGAAGGCAACGAAAAGGCTGCCTGTTGAAAACCCAGGCTGCATCCACTCAGCCAAGCAGCAGGAAGTTTCTTTAGTAACTGACTGTTATGTCATTTTGCCAAGTGCACAGACATGCTTGCACCATGTCAGATGAAGTCATGCTTCAAGATGCATGCTCTTACATGTGACTTCATCACAACTCACCTTGCCTCAGAGCACTTGGAGGGCCCTAGCACCGACTGAAAACGCTAAGAAAATCATGCTCATGCTGGCTTGCTTTTGGCATTGCCAGAAGTGATTCAAACTGCAAATCACTGACAATTTTTTTTTAACACTATCAACTCCAAACAGGCTTGCGAGGGAAAAACAAGAATGTATACATGTCCTCATCATGCAGTCAAGCATCTTCCTGGATTCTTTGCCTTAAGCATATGCTACATATAGACCTCTGGAGACTACCATGAAGCTGAGCATTGGCAGAAAGCACACTCAGACAACTTGTCACCCTTTTCAAGGAAGATGGACCCCGTGGGCATGCTAAGAAGAGGAGAGAATAAAAACATCTTGCTCACTCCAGGAGGGACCGCTATTTTAAGCATTGGTGTTGGGACAGCAAAGATTGCAATCTGAAAGTTATCTCTGGCAGGTTCTCGAGTTATAGGATCATTCTCACACAAGACTTCTCCATGCATTAGCAAAAAACAGTGATTATCACACTCCAGCATTTTAACAATGCAGACAACGAAAATATGACCCTAGTGACACAACAGAGCTCAGAGACTTAAGCTAGTTAAGTATCCCCAGAGGTAGAATTGCTGTCCTTCATGCACAAAGAACTTGTACCACCTGCTGGGGAAATGGAGAAGGAACTTCCCCCAGCAATAAAATCCTCTCTGACAGAGACTGATGCGAGCAAATGATTGACACAAAACTGATTGTTTAAAAATCACTCAAGGGAAGTGTCAGTCACAATGAAACCAGAGACGAAAATCAAAAGATTAAAAGCAGGCCTTGAGAAGAAATAAGCAAGGTGCATTGCAGATGAAGCTGAACATCCTTCTAAGCAACAGAAGAAGATGACACAGCCAAAAGTAAATCTTGCCATAAAGCCACAAGAAGAATCTTAACAATTTAAAAGGCACCAAAACCACAGCAGCACAGCCAGAAGATCTACTCCTCTTCTTGACTCCTAGTCAGTGAAGTTGCTGAGAAGCACTGTCAGGAACGCATCACATTTCACCTTGACAGGACAAACTATGCCATGCATGTACTCTGCAAAGGCCAAAGAACTTCCAGCTAGACTGTGGATATTTGTACTGTAAGCAGTGTGGACGCTCCCACGACCCAGCACTTGAATAGAGGCATTCATAACTATCACTCAGGTTTCCTTCACACCTTCACTTACAAAAAGAGGAAGAACATTCAGGATACAACAGAACTGAAATGGACAGAGCTAAGGTGTTTCTCTCCTGAGCACACTGGCACGCAGCTGAAGAACTGCCCACAGTATTGACACAGAAAAGCCTCAGCAGCAGATTAGGCAAACTCCAGTAGCAGCAACTGAAAGCATCCTTTACAGGATAAGGAACAAAGTTCAGAGTGATTCACTTCAATCAGTAGTTACAGATTGAGTTGGGACTACTGCCTCTTTTCACTAGAAACATTACATCTACTACAAGTGGCATCCTCTGGTGTGGAAGTTCACTGCATGTAGCTGCAGTGTCATACCCAAGAGATGTATCATCTAGTGAGCTATACCTGTGACTGTTTGTGCTGGATGGAAATCTGTTTTTGGGAAGTTTTTTAGGGATGCTCAGTGTTCCCTGATCCGGTAGAAGATGGGCTGCCTTGCTGGGCCTGCAAAAGAAAGTTAGTGTATTGTTATATGCTCCGCAGCATGATCACTATTGCCCATGCAGATACACTTCTCTTTACATGGGAGGTGCAGTCTGGCTTGAGTACCACACTTTCATGTTAAGGTTTAAGAATGCTCTAAAGATTTAGTTCATTAAAACAAAGAGAGTCAATTTCTTTCAAGAAGCCTGGCCCAACCTGCTAAAAGTCAAAAGCCTAACATAATTCATGTCAGTTGAGATTACGCGAGGCCAAAACAAACACTTCTCACAGCAAGACTATACTTCATTCTTTTGCTTTTTTGCATCTATCAGATTAGCCTCTCAGAGGCTATTATTCTGATCTACGTAAGATTAAAAACTTAAAATTTGCGTCATTTTATTAAACAAGCAAAGCCTGGGACCTAGAACTCTTCACAAGGAAGATGAACTTACCAGAAGATGATAGACTTGGTCATCAATAAACCAGGCAGCACTTGAACCACTGTCTTTGAGCAGAAAAGCTTCAAATCCCCCATCCCTTAACTAGAAACATCCCTTGGGATTCAAATCTTTTCAGAGCTGCTCACCGAGACAAAAGTAAAACAGAGGCCACCTCCCCTCTGTGCCAGCTGCTCATTCTCTAGCCGCTGTTTCGCCAGCATCACCGACATCAGCGTTGGCAGAGCAGAGGGTTCCTCCTGCGGGTCCCATACAGCGGCTGCTCCACTCGCCGCTGTAACACAGTCAAAAGAAATACAATGAACTTTTTTTTTTTTAAAAAGTGGTTCTCTGACTCTGCCAAAACTGTTGTCAGCGAAACAGCAGCTCAGGAATGGGCAGGCAGCATGGTGAGGATCTGATAACTCAGACAGGACTCCTGCAGTGATTGTTCCCATGGCAGACATCAAAAAGTAGATGAAGTTAACAATTGGAAAAAAAAGTAACAAATGAACACACAGGACAGAATTCCTTGTCAGTAACACACCCCCTTCCTTTGCAAATACATGTGTTTCAGAGCCAGTGCGGCAAAAAAGGTTGCAGATCCAAAAATCTCAGTGCATTGCAATTTTGGTCAATGCCTTCAAAATTATACTACTTGATGTTTCCTAAGGACTCAATTTAAAACAGTCAATGTCACAGTATGTTTGTTATTCTGGTGAAATAAACCGAGTCAGAACTGCTAAATGTCAGTGACCTAACCATGCCTAGGACCCAGACGTCATGGGAAGCTCACTGCTGTCACTATAGCTGGGACCAATCTCCTGCAAGATAAGCAAAGTACTAATGTGTTTCCAAAATCTTTTAAAGATGCATTATATCTCTTAAAGGCCAGCTCCTTTCTCCTGCAGTAGGCTCATTTTCCAACAGTGATAGAGGAACTGGGTTCAATAAGAACAAGAATCATCTGAGCTACATTGATTACAGCACTCAGAATCTCATTGCTCTCACTTTAAAAGCCAGCCCATCACAGCTAAAACTTGGCAGTCTGGGTAATAATCATCTACGTCCTTCCAAGCTGTAACTCTGGGCCAGGCATATGCCACAAAGAAAAGTAAATATTCAGGTCAGGCTTCAGTTTTTCTTAAAAACCTAAATTGCAACCTGAAGCATATTTTCTGGCTAACATTACAAATGTCAAGAGTGTGCTTTCTTCCGCAAAGGAATGCTTGTCTGTGAGAGAGACCTTGCAAGAGTCTGAAGACCTGCAGATCATTCTTCTGATCAAAGGAGAAACAAGGCAATTCAAAGCAGTCAAGAGATTTGAAGACAAGAAGTAACATCCTGAAGCCATTACAATTCCTCCACAAGTTCTTATTGCAGAAAATTTCCAGTACTGCACAGATTAACTCACAGGTTCGGAGGAGGTTTGCCTCATTGTTAAAGACATTTTAACACTCTGCTCTCTTCCTAGACCATACTGATATCTGAAATGGGTAAGATACTCAATCTTCTCCAATTTTCACTCATCCTCCCATTTTTTGGGGCTTCGCTCAAACCACTGATAATCACTTTTTGAGAAGAGAACAGATCTTGCAAATGCACACAATATTTTGTTACGAATAAGCAAACATTACAGGTTTAGCTGCAAGAATAAAGAACAGAAGATGAGAAACACAAAGAGCACCTGCATAAGGAGAGAGACAAACTGGCCTACCTGAAACTAACTGTAACATCAGACTTCACCACATGAGAAATACTCTGTTCGATCTTTTACCTATGTAATATGTACAAGTGTGGAAGACGACAACCAAAGGAAGAATCCACTTGTCCCACTATAAATACCTGTAGGGTATCTCAACTGCCGGAATAAAGAGCTGTCCCTAATACCTCATGCATCTGCAACACTCAGAAACGCTATTTCTTTCATTAACTTCTCTTTATAGAGGTGTATTAGTGAATTAGTGTAAGATAGGAGGAAGAGCCATTCAATTAACAAGACGTATTTTAATTTTTATAAACATAAAAAATACCTAGAAGCATATGTGAAGCTTTCCCTTAAAGCAGCATTACAAAGCTTCCAAAATCTAGCAACACATACTGAATTTTGAGCAGAGCATTCACTGTTGAGGTTTAGTTCAGTACACATTCATGAACTGTGCAAAGGTCTCTGCAGATTAATGTAATCAGTAAAGACTTCGCATTTGGTTTTCGGAATACTAACCTCTCCCACAATGCTCCATACTTTTTTGACACTCAACAAATGCTGAAAATTTTTAAAGAGGGGCCCAGACATTGGTCAAAACTAGACATCAGACACCAGAGTCTCTGAATATCGCTTTGCTAGAAAATTTCTTTAGCTGCTCTGTGCTAAAATGGCTTAAAAATACTGGTTATTTTTTCACATTCGGATCTTGCACAAATGCCGTGACAGCAAAATGGAATTACATAACAAAAAAATCCCAACAGATGTGCACGTATACACATTTCTTTGCAAGCTTTTGCTAAGGCTCCTTACCAGTTGCATGCACATGAACAGAAGTAAAAGACCTTCCCAGTGTAATTATGGTATGCTCGTTTCTCAGTATACCCTAGGGGTTCAATCAAGATTGAGGTATCATTGTACTAGAGCTATACACACATACAACATACTCCCAACTCTACGGCGAAGCTCATGAGCTACAATGGAATACAAGATAACTAATATGTCAGTTCCACCTTTTATTAAGGACAGTGATCTATCTGTAACCACATAGCATGTTAAAAACATTCATCTTGCATGCTTCAAGTTCAGATATTTATAGCAGTTACAACTGTGCTAGCCGCCGTTACAGGGTCCTAGGCACCTGGCTTTGCTGCCAGAACCCAGTTTCAGATTTTAAAAAAAGGAACTGAATAGAGAATAAGCCAAATCACTCACCAAGAGATCCTTCTTTCCTGTTCAGAACCTTTTATTAACCGTCTGAAGCACGGCCACCAACCTAATCAATGCCGTGCCACCAGCTCTGTCCCCAGGGAGAACACTTACCGGCAAGGGATTGGATAAGGAATGCTGTGGTGATGATCTGGCGACAGGCGGCACGCTTCTACCAGGACTGGTTCCTGGGCCACTTCCCCCAGCAAACTGGCCAAAGGAACAGATTTGATCATCAGTAATTCCACAGAGTATAATATACAATACTATATTTAAGCAAATTTAACAGAGACAGAAGAAACATATTAATCTTAAAAATGAAACCCTATAGGCTCTAGGGACTCATTTAAACAAACTGAACATAAGCTAAGAGGAAAACCTTAAGATTTCACGCCCTGTTTTCAAAAAGAACAGCAAAAGCAAGTACTTCAGACAAACACTGGTATTTGCACTGTGCACAAAAAGATGTAAACCTGCACACTTGGATATAGATCACTTATTTACTGTACAGAATTCGGAAGCCCATTCCCCGTAAGGAGACGTCTCTAACTATGCACCACAGGAGTGGTAAGAAATGTACATCCCCACTGAGGCATCTGTGCTGGTCTCTGTTAAAGACAGGGTATGTAAGCTGCTGGACAACTGCTCTAGTCGGTACAGAAGTTCTTATGTTCCTGAACCACAGCGTACCACACGTAAAAAACTTTAGCCAGGAACGAAGTAAACGCTGATAAGCACTTCATTTCTGACTCCAAGTTAGTCAGTAAAATAAAGAACAAACTTAAGAGAAAAGCTAGAGCTCTGGATTGTGCAGACCTAGAAAAACTTCAGAAACTATGTAATAAAAAAAAAAGAATACTGATTATTAGAACGTCCATCACTGCTCTGGGAAGAGGTCTCCATCTCCCGTGTGGTGCCAGCCTCCCACGGCAAGCTTTTCTGAAGAGGGAACCCCGTAAACAACTTGCTGCTCAAATCAGTGGGACTTTGCAGGCATGTTCTTTTGTGGCACTGGACCCTTATCAAAGCAGGTTTGCATACGCAGAGATATCCTCGTCTGGGATCCAGGCTCCAATAGAAATAAACCTCAAACCTATACTTGCATGGCTGCTCTTTCAAAAAATTGGTTTAACAACTGTTCAAAGAAATGTTAATTTAAAAAACAACTTCCAAAAATCTCATATCCTTGACCTAATCAGATTTGAGCATATCAGGTTAGTATCGTCAATGACTCCAATGATGGATCAGTAACAGAAGTCACATAATGCGATATCTGTACATGGAAGTCTGTAATGGGAATTCAAGCAGATTTCTCAGACAACATAAAGATGCTTACCTCAAAATAATCACTAATTTTATGTCCTCTAGGAGTGCCTTTTCCTAAAAAGGAAAACAAAGGGTGAAAATAAGAATTGGTATTTTTAAGAACAAAAGTCATGATGCCATTCTAAAAAACTACTCCTATATTTTGATACTCCTCTCCCTGTAGAAAGGTGCAACACCTACCACAACAAAAGCTTCTGCAGGACAAAAAACCGCCCCAGGGTTACAGCTTCTGTGCTGTTGTTGGGAGGGTTTACAGCTGACAATTCAACTGACTCTTAATTCCAAACGTGTCAAATCCTATCAAAGAGCATTTGCACTTGCTAAAGTACTTAGAAAACACTAAACATCACTGAATGTTGCAAAGATTCTCCAAATTTTCCTTCAAGATAAGGACAGAACAAAGGGTACTTTTACTCCTCTGCCTTCAGGTAAATTACTGCGTATTAGATCTCTCACAAGCATTCCTATAAGAGTTACAGAGATAATTAGTGGTGGCTTAATACCAACTCATTAAAATTTAGCCCTTTTCTCTTATTATAATATTATCAAAGCAGTTCTGTCAACACAATCCTCCTTACTTCCTTGTTGAAGAAGAAAAGAAGCAGAAATCTGCCCCTATGCCCATTTGCTAGAAAATCTGAACTCACACTTGAACACGTTGGGTTTTTCTTAGTACTCCGAGACAGCACTGCGTGCTTTATACTCGAGCACAGTTTGTTCTCTATTTGTTATGGTGAGAACTTGCTCTAACAAGGCAGGCATACGTCTCAAAAAGCTAGGAAGAGAGTACAGCCTGTATTTAGAAGTCTGGCTGCTGTATGTGTTGTGATGTGGGACTAAAACAACACTTCAGAGAAGCCATATTAAGCCTTTGGGTAGTTTGTCCCATAAAAATGGGATAGTTTGTACGAGTAAGCTGAAGGCGAGTGTTTTCCTGCCAATGAGGATAACAAGGCTCCCAGAAGAGAACTACACCATCATGGAGTAGTTTATAACAAGCTGCCTGACACACCCTTGAGAAGAGCCATTAGTTTCCTAGGACACTGACTGTGCAAAACGTGCACGAATTACCAACCGTTCAGAAATCCTGCAGCAACGCCAGGAGAATGAATTACCTTGACTGGTCTCATATGCTTCTGCTTTCCTTTTTCTATTCCGCTGGTCATTCTGTTTTTTCTCAGGAGTCTGTTAAACAATACTTCAAAATTAACATTTCTGCAGTTATTCCACGATTTAAAGAAAATACCAAAACACAATAATCTGCTTCATATTCCCAGTGGCCATTTCACTTCTCTGGTGCATTTGTTTCTACTGCTGGTACTTAAAGAAACAACTGCTCTCAAATAGCTACTACCTTCTGATATATGTGCTGCAGAACGGAGAGAACTTGTTTAGGAATGAGGTTAATTTTATTTTTTTTTTTTAATTTCAGCTGTAGTAAGTGAGCCTCTACTGCCCAGTTACCTCGCGTGGTTAGCAGACAAGTTCAAACACCTATAGAAACCTGTGTACACCATTTGAGAGTGATCACAGTACTGGTACAAGAGGAGTAATGCCGAGAGTTTTGAGTACAGACATCCAAATTCACAGTCCAGTGGCTACTCACAGTCTAGCAGGACAATTCATCTTGCCTGCAGCTAATGCGTCTTCCCAAAGCTCTCTGCAGATGGCTATAAGAACCATCCCGTCTACTGGTGCACAGCCACAACCTCACACAAAACAAGGCAGAGCTGCCCAAGATGGCAGCCAGGAGAAAGCTGCCACAGATGCAGCAATTCACCTGGACTTCTCTCTCATTAAAGTCAAGGGCCAGTTGCATCTGCCATGTCTGTGAGCAACCAAGAGACTCAAGGGGCAGCTGATCACTGGACAGAGATACGTTTATGCACAGGCACAATACAGAGCACAGGTGGGAGGCTTGAAGGCTCCAAAAGTGTCAGGCCTATCTGCCTGTACAAAGCTAGCAAGCCTAAACACCTGCGAGCGGAGGAGACCCCGACATGATGCTTTCCCCATCACCAGGGTCACCTATGTGGTCAAACCTGCTGAAAACATTACGAAGCACTGCACTAGAAGCAGCTTCCTGAGGTTGCTGGAAAGAAAGATATCTTGCCATTTCCATCACCAACGTCATTTTAAAAACATCTCTTACCCCAAAGGGTCCCAAATAATTCCTGAGCTATATGCTTTACAGTCACTGCAGCCACCACTAAACTATAGCCTGGGGGCAGGAAGAAAACCACAGTGTGCAAAACACAACTCTGGGGGAGGGAAAGCCATGGCCAGAAAGTTTGTGGTAAACCTAAGTTTCAGGCTCTTTGGAAACCAAAGTCCAAAGTACCCTGTTCAAAGATCTCTGCCAAAAGACTTGCACATAATAAGCACAGAAATCAATCTACCTCCTTTAATAAGATAAAAAGGATAAAGCCGACACAGCCAGAATTTAAACCTGGCTGTGTCCCCAGAGGATGCTGGACATCTACAGTCCCATGTCACCAGCTGCGCAGTCACTGACACATTGTTGTTTCGGCAAGAGGATGGAGGGGATGTTAAGAGAAAGCTGGCTATTGTGTCTGCAAAGTACTTTTTAGAATGGGGGGACTGAAAACTCCATGACTATCTAGAGACTTGCTGTACCAGCTCCTGCACAAGTAAAAGCCAGTGACAGAGCCTCCTCACTGCGTAGTGAAGAGCAACTCATGAACAGCGTTGGCGTGACTGTAACACCACAGGCTCCATTACAGCCTCCATGGAACTGTAAGTGTATTAATGAGAGTCAGTTTAAGTTGTTTTTCCATTCAAGTACTTACATAACAAAAGTTACACACAACATTATCTGTTACAGACTGAAAAAGCACGGAATGGTAGATTTCATTATGTCAGCTTGGTCAATTCAAATCACTCCACAGAAGTTCATTAAAAAACCCCGAGTAAAATAAGAATGAATCCTGTTCTCCACTATTAACTATACTTCTTTCTATGGAATTTTAGATCTTGCGTTCTCAAAAGACTTAGCTACACCAGACACCCCATATCAGTACTGCCACGTAACAGAAGGAAATATGAACCAAAACTTACCTGATAACAGTGTGGAAAATTCTTTAAATGGATAAAGAAATGCATATAAAATTGAGATTTTGTTTTATTAATGCCGAATCTTAAAGTAAAAATCTAACTCTACAATTAATTTTGCTGCTTTAGCAAGTGTTTTGAAATAGTTAATCCTAAAGCGGTGAGATTAAACAGGGACAAAGCATCAGTTTTCACCTCCCAACACTTCCACAGAGCAGCTCATAAAAATGCTGCGCTTTGTACAGACTTCTGCAAGTACACATATTTGATAGGTAAGGTAAACTTTTCCATTAATGCTCTCTGGCTTTTTATTTGGCCAAAATTGTATCCAAAACCAGCCAACAAATCACAATGCAGCTGAAAACAGTTTCATAAGCCAAGCTTTATGAATACTGTGTCTTTGGGGTTAGGTAAAATCTTCCTGCTACAGTGGGAAGCTTCAGGGAGGACTGTTTCACAGCACGGTCCACAGACTGTAGGGTTAAGATCCAGACTAAATACTTCCACTAGTCCCTTTCACACCCCAAACAAAGAACACTGTCACTCACTCTCACACAATTCCTTCTATGTTCCGAGTCCCAATCGTGTCCACCTTAAACCTGATTACTGTGAGGTTTTGTGCCTGCTTACCTCCAATTCTTTATCACTCAGAGAACCCACGCTGCACAAGCTCTGGTTGGAAGACTCACTATTTAACGGACCCTAGTGAAAAAACAAGCAAAGACTGTTAGAAGCAACTTCCATACAAGGCAGGTATGTCCTATCAAACATTGCATCTCTGGGCTAACTATGCTGCTCTAAATCACGTGGATACAGCAGCAACACGGGTCAAGTACCTAGGCATGTGATGGGGCACTAAAAAGCTTCAGAAGTGGCTTGGAGCAAGACAGAAGGTGGACTGACGGCTGGACGGTCTTTTCTCAGTACGCTGATCCAGCCTTCGCAATGGTATTTCTGTATCAGTTCATATCCTTACTGCTCTACTTAACCACATCTGCAAAGCAGCCAAGGCAGTATTCATAAAAGTCTAAGACAACCTGTTTGAGAAACAAAACTTCTGATTTGCTGAGAAGCAGTAGTTCCAAGTTCGGCTCTTCAGGCAAGCATCTGCTTGACCCTGGGCTAAGAATTCAGAGGCATCTTCCATCTGGCAACGCAGCTATTACTGTTATCAGATGCTGGCAGTACCACTGATTTTCCTTTAAATGCGTAATTTTTATGCTTTTTTTAACACTAAGAAAGCGAACAAGTGAAAGTTGTCTTAACAGCAGTACAGCTGGCACCCATAAGACAATCTTTCCCACTAGGCTATTTTGTGGACCCGCGGCTGACCTACCAACAGAGCAGTTGCTCCTACCAGGCTAAAGCACAAATTCAAGAGGCTGGAATAGATTTACCAAAATAGTATCCAAGTACCTACAAGCGCACGCCTGCATCTTTGCAGGCTCTACTGGATACGTATTTGCATTTTTATGTATCCAAGCATTTTTGAAAATTATTTTCCAAAATCCATGTCAAAACTGGTTTTAAAAGGAAAGAAAAGTGAATCATGCAAAGTCACTGTGTTTTAGCCTAGTGCTCTGACACAAAAGTATCCTCCCACAGATCTAACTTAAGAAATCTAGACGAATCTGACAAAGATACAAAAACAAGATTCACAATTACTGATGGAATGTATTAACAGGAAGAATGACATGATAAAGCCACCTCTCCATTAATAACTTGTGAGCATCTTTTCCCAAAGATTCATTCTATTTTAGCATTCTCATTTTTGCAGTAATCACTTCCCACCAATCAACCTTTCCTCAAGGCAGAGCCACTTCTCATTATAGATCTGAGCAGAAGACTTATGGAAGGGGTGAGGGAGAAGCCTTAATAGCACAGAGAAATCCCACAGTAGATTATTTTTGAGGGTAGCAGCTCTCCTTTCCCCATTTATAAGACAAACACCACCATCACATTAAACTTGTGACACAACCTAGCTATTACTAACCCCAATTTCCAAGCAGGCATCCACAGAAAATAAAAGTTCTGTTTACCTTCTGTATTGCACTGCGAATATTCACTACCAAATTTGTTTCTCCTGCAAGGACATGCTTAGTTGCTTCAACAACAACAGAAGAAATAACAACACCTGAACAGCTCAAGCAGCTACACATTTAGGATTCCCTTTTCAAAGCAAATTACTTTATGAAAAATTCCAGATTATATTCTTTAAGCCATGCCATTATCCCTTCAACTCATTGCACAAATAGCTCAAGACCAGAAAGATACTTTACCTCATTTCTTCAGCAATACAAAAGCTTAAAATTTAGTTGCTTTTTAAACAAAGTGGCAAGCTCCCCACCACCCAATGTGATGGCTCACAAATCTTACAGGTACAACTCTAGGTTATGTGAGGGATTTACTCCTTGGCCAACAGGACTTAACAGAAGTGCCAACACTAACCATACCTACATCCACATGAAGGCCTCACTGATTAAAAAACTCACGTAATATTTTACAGCACTTGGCAACAGAAAGTTCATCTTTTCACCCATGTAAAAAGCTTGTTTATAAACTGCACAAATGCTGTCCTCTAAAATCTTTCACTTCCTCATGAACTCCAACCCCAGCAGCATGTCCAAGACATCAACCTTCTGTGCAAGTGTAGAAGCTTTGTTAGGTGCAGGAGCATCTCAGCAAATCAGCATTTGCTGGTCTCAGACAGACAGGCTGGGGTTCTGACATGATGAAGACGAATGTGAAAGTTGCTTCCACGTTTGGTTAAATCTCCCTGCCTCCATTTTGCACATGGGTAGCTAATGACAGGAACAGCTGCTCCCAATATGCCACATTTGAGCTCTTCAGGAACACTGTAGTTGACAGGGTATGTCAGTGGCTTACAGAGGGCCAGTGTTTCAGCAAGGGACCTGTATTCCAGGGTCACCTGGAGAAACAAACTGATGAGTCTGTCTATACTTAGAAATGATCCTAACTTTTTTAAAAAAAATACAAGTTTATCCTCTCTGGTACAAAAAATCCACTCGGTCTGCACCTGAATGTAAAGTTCTGGAACACAAGCAGCTAGAAAAATGCCTAACAACAAAATCCAGAATGTTTTTCTTACTTCCACTACCCCAGCTACCTGTACCAACTATTCTGTGTGGGACATTTACAGGTCTAGCAGTTGGAATCAAACCCATTTTTTGCATCAACAACAACAAAAGAGCAGTTCAGATCACTGATTCTTGAAGAGCAAAAAAACCTATTTTCCTTTTACTTTAAAACTTCCTCTAGAAACTACACTGACAAAATTGTAAAATCGAACTCCCTGCAGTAGCAGAAGGGGTGAAAAGGAACTAACTACTCAGTCACGGAACCAGAAAAGAAGAGCTTGTCAGATGTCTGCAAGTATCCAAGCAAGTTCATGGTCATGTGTATTGACACTGTGAACAAATGCAGAATTAATTCTTTGTAGGCAAGTCTTCACCCATTTCCACTGCACGAGCTTTCCTCTCCCTTGATGATCTTCTAGAGGGCCTTCCACCAACACTTCTCTTCCAGTAAAGGATCAGGCCTATCTCACAGGCAAGGAGCTGAAGCATCTTGTTCACGTCAAAGTTAACAAAATGTCTTGTTCTGAGGTATTTTGGCTATGGAAACACAAATTGTTCACTAGAACGTGCTGTAGAGCTGAAGCATCTTGTTCACGTCAAAGTTAGCAAAATGTCTTGTTCTGAGGTATTTCGGCTATGGAATCACAAATTGTTCACTAGAACGTGCTGTAGTGGAAGCAATAAAGATGCAATACCTGGGATGTTTAAGGAACATGGCCTAGTCCTCAGCTGGACCTCTTCTCACGTAGTTAAGCAAGAGAAAGTAAAGGCAAGTTTTCCTGATCAACCAGCTAGATATCTAGTTTCACATGTTAACCTCATGTTATCAACTTCTTATAGTAACAGGTTTAGACAATGGATATGAGAAACTACACATCTGAGCATTCTTACCCTCCACTAACAGGCAGTGAGTGTGTGTATAAAAAAACCCTTCAAATTTATGTTTTATCATTCCTGACTGTTCATATTTAACTCAGCAACTGACATTGGATAAATGTTCAGTACTTAATTTAGCATACCATCTTAAGTGGTCACGACACAAAAGGAATTAAAGGAACGAACCTGAATTTTAGAAAAAAACAAGAAAGCAATGGCAAAGAACACTAACACCAGAATATTGACTGGGAAGTAGCAGTAGGGAATAATAAACATGCAACAGTTTACACAGGAAGGGCTTATGAATTTTGTTCCAGAAGAAGTCATCTGCACTGGCATCTGGCTTTTCTAGCACAGACTACTGTGGGATAATACTGCACTTTTCTGATATGACTTACAGCCCACTCATCCACTGTACCCTGTCAAGAGAATCAGTGATGGGGCTCAGAAAAATTCAAAATACGTGGGTCATCTGAAATAAGCCAATAGTCTCTATAGTGTTTACCCAAATGACAAGCACAAGAACAGCACACACTTCCTCCTCCGCAAGGAATTTCTTTCTGAGATAAGCTGGCATGCTCTTTTCCCTTGTGATTCACCTATCAACTGCTGCTTCTAAGTCCGTGACCTACCTATGTACAACAAAACCTCCATGCCGAGAAGTGGATGCAGCAGTAGCAGGTGCTTTCAAGACTCCTACTCAAAGGCAAGAATTTAAAATCTGTCCACTCACACGAGCTGGTTAGTCATTTATCCCATTTGCAAGAGCCCTGGAAAGGCCACAGATGAGGCACAATGGCTGAAGTTTCAACAGAAACAACTTGGCCTGATAGTAGCTCCCATTGGATCTTCTATAACAAAGCTCGCCTGACTCAGACTGCCCTTACCTATCTTCTTTTCAAGCCCATCTACTTCCTCGCACTTCTTCTGCCTCTCCAAGCTCTCAAAAATGATCCCTCAGGCCTGTCCGCAACCCTTATGTTGGGCAGTCTCCATTTTGTGCTCTCAACTCCTCGTATTGTAAGAGAGCTCTAGGAATTCAAGCTGCCTAGCCAGAGTCTCCAACGTGGACTTCCAGCAACATGCATTGCAAAATTCTCCTGCTAACTCAATGGTGGAGGAGACATGCTTCACTACCCCACGCCAAGCTAATGCAAGTTCTCCTGAATTGTGTAGCAAATCAAGAGATTTCAAAGGGAAGAAGTCAATCCTTAGTTCCACTAGAAGTTAGTGCTGACTCCACACATGCTTACACCAAAGTGAAATGGTTGAATGGTTTTCCAGTTACTCTGGTCCAGTGCTACTGTATAAAACAGGTTTAATTAACATATTCTTATCTTATTTCAAGCATCACATAAGTATGAGAATTACAGTCTGCTTCTTAGTCGGGCTCTTAGAAAAGCTCGGTATTATAGCCAGTAATGAAATTCCTGAACCACCTAGGTCTTTTTGCCATGAGAAGTTAATCTACTAGCAGATGTTCACAGGTAACCTCCACTATATCAGATGGGTAAGCAGATTTGCAACAGGATTTGCTCAGCTTCCATTACACCTCAAGGGTTCTCTCAGGTTGAAAAAAATAGTATTTTTATTTTACTGACAGCAAACTGGACAGAAGGGTCATGTAATTCAGCCTAACCCTCAGTTCAGGGGCAGAAACAGAACTGAGATTTCGCAACTATTTCTGGGCTCTAATAACAAGACAACACATTTGAAACAAGTAATATTGCACACGGAAGCATCCAAACAATTTTTGAGTATCTGGCATAAAGTCTTGGCACATTCTGTGGTAGCTGATAAATTCAGTTCTAAGTTTCAAAACTCTCATTAACTAGTTCTTCTGGTGGCATGTGACACCTGTTAAGGACCATCACTAAGCAGCACCACTTCCCCCCAGGGAAGACATTATTATTCCCAAATACGAATTCTCAACTTAGCAACATTTTTAGCAGCAAAGTTACCAAGTGGACCACACCACTGGCAGTTACTGAACTGATCAAGGCTGCTAGAAGGACAGAGAAAGGGTAAAAACCAAAACAATACAAGCAAATGCAGTTCTTCTTTATGAGCAATTCTCTTTTTGGTGGTAGATGTTCTGCAGCATAAGTGCCACTCTTCAGGTTATTTTCATTTTGGAGGAAAGGGAGCACTAGCTACCATCAAGACCAGTATTTCTTCAGTTCTAGCACAGTCATCTGGATCTACAAGATACCTACAGCACGACAGAGAAGGTTACTCTCTCTAGAAATACTCCAGCCTTTTTAGTTTAACTGTAACAAAGTGGCACACACAACTTAGTCTGAAGATCTTTTAAAGACCAAATTCGTAGAAGATACCTGCCGTGATGATCCACCCTGGTTAAGCCTGAGGCAAGCCACATGCAAACACAGATCCAACCACCACAGTTACCTACTCCAGTTCTCATCCAGTAAAAGTCTGTGGAAATGACACAAATCCTTTGGAGTTAACTCGTCTGACATCTTAAAGCCAGCACGCAGACAGGGGGGAGGGAGGCAGAAGATGAGAACAGACCAAATTCAACAATGTTATCTAGAGAAACAAACTACATTTTGTTTTCTGTACCTACTGACCCAAGGAAGATGTCTGAGATGACTAGTTAGAATAATGCCTCAAGTGAATACACTTACACTTCCCCCAGTAAGTAAACATAAACAGAAGCCAAATAAGCAGGAATAGCAGTAGGTGTCAGATAGTCATGTGTTAATTCAAGGACTTGCTTTGTGAATTTGGGGAAAAATGGCACTTTACCATATGGCAAGAATAGACATCTAAAGCATCACTGGCTTTTTGAAGCTGTCTAGTGACCTGGATGAACCACACGAGTATAACAGTTGCCTAGAAACATTCCTCGCTCACAGATTTGATTCCACGTATTAACCCTAAGCTTCTAGAGAAATATATTCTCCAGCTACTAAGCGAGATAATTCGTCACAGACTTGGAACAGAATTTTGAGGCAATTTGGGACTGCAAATGACCTCAGTCATTGGGTTGTGCCTTCAGCTACCACAGGAGATGACAGCACACAGCTGTTTCCAAAACAGTTTAGGGTTTCTGTCCTCTACTGCTGTTACTGGAAAGCTCTTCCAGAACCCCATGACTCTGATGGCTAGAATCTTTTTTCTACTGTCAAGCCTAAACATTTATTCTAGATCAATGTAGTTGTATTCATTCTCAGAAACACGTACAGCTGTTCTTTACCTGCAAACACGCAGGGAAAGCGGGCTTTAAATCTGCAGTTGTATTAAGGATGTAAACTAGTACGTGAGTGTTACACAGGTCCAAAATACACCCTGTATTTTTTAACCTTAAAGAAACCTAACCGAAGACACTAAGCGATACACCCAGTCAGTGGCAGGCAGGAAGCTCAGTTACAGCTGCCTGCTGCCTTCGCCCAATAGGAGAGCATCTAAGATGACATTTCTTCCTTTTATGCAATAAACAGCAACAGAATACCTTCTATCCCAGGAGGATGTGCCAGTCCCGGTCCCACTAGATGGCACTAACTTACCCTACGTAGCCTTCCTTCGGCACTTCATTGGAGAGAGCTACAAATCTTAGTTGAATCACACAAATTGTATTACAGCTTTCCCAATACATTCCCTTTAAGACAGTGACCTACCAATGTCAGTGCGGAGCATGACGGACGGAGACTTGGGGGGGTAGGGAGGGAATTTGAAGCACCAACCTGGGAGGGAATGTAGTATCTGAGATTAATATTGCAACCGAGATTTGCTGCAACATAGTAGAGTCATGCTAATTCATATCAATGGCTGGCTGATCTATTGAAAATTACCAAGTATGCAAGTAAATAAATATATATTGTTTGAAATAAGTGTAATGCGCTTTAACAGTTTACTGACTAACACAAAGTAAAACACTATACTGTGTAACAACAGGTAAAAATAAAACTCAGTAACAGAAGAGCTTTGCTCAAAGTGAAGCCTCCAAGAAATGAGGCTTTTTTTACTCGGATATGCTTTAGAAACAAAAATGAGTTTTCAAGATTCACCCTACAGAAAAAGGGCATGTACTTTCTGCTCCAAACGTATTGAAAACATAATTAAGACTTGCTTTCTGGTCTCTTTTGAAGGTTATTCCTTTAAAAGGAATAGCTCCTAACGTTCTTGGTGAGCATCGAGTATGTTGGCACTGTTTTAAAGTAACGATAGTGTCTATGCCTCTCAGTCTTTGCTATTCTAGAAAGTTGTTTGGCTTTATCTATATCGGTACAGCTAAAGATGTTAAAAGTGACAAACACGAGAGGAAGAGGTAAGAAACAGATTAAAAAGTACATAACAAGTTGTAATGCTGTATAAAACAAGTCTTTGAAGATGGTAAATACATTACATAGCCTAAACCTTTATGCTAGTAAAAGCCTTAAGACTAAGAAGTCTTAAGAGTGAGGGCAAAGATCAAAAAACCCCCACACTCTTACTTCAGTAACTGAAATTGTTACCCCTTACCAACTCCAAATGTTAATCTTCCTTACTACACTACCTTACAGCTGAACATTTTACTTACTCATGCCCCCTTCCAAGACTTAGTGTCCTGACTGAAGCACAGGTCAGAAAGAAAAGTATGAACTCAAATGAAACCCCTTCTCAAGCTCTGATTTGATTGAATTTTTCTAAGAAATACAGCAAAGTTTCTTCCCTAAATAATTCTAAGAGGCTTATGAAAATTATCTAGTAATGGTATGTTGTTTTACCATCTACCTCGATGTTGTCCAAAACTCAGTGTCTTCCTCAAAAGTAAACTCCTTATCACTGACCTCCTTCAAGATGAGTTCTGCCACCATTTCACTGCTCAGAGAGACTATCAATTAACACTACCAACAACATCTGGAGAACTAGGAGCTTAACGCTAGTACACCAAGCAACCACAATGTTATTTAAGTGTCTTGCTCATGAAAGGCAGCTACTGAACAGTTATGAAGATGTACGTGAGGACAAAGATGGGATTTTACCATCAGTCTGTGGATCACAGATGCAGGAGAGCTTACCTTCAAATACTTTTTTTGTGTTCTATGCGACCGAATACACAATTTTAGCATGCTGCACCCACAAAGAACTCAACAAATTCCTGAAGGTATTAAGTCTGGTTACATGTTGTATCAAACACAGTAAACTTGAAACTGTATCTAACAAGTGGCCAAATTCAGTTCTCAAGTGCTTTCTCGGAGAAAGGAAGAGACAGATGAGATTCCCACTTCCAAAGACAAAGCTGTCCTGGGCTTTTTTGGGGTGTACAAGCTGCCTTAAGATGGAGCGACTCCTAAGAACTTAATTAGGACCCAAAATCTTCTGAATAGTAAAACATCTGCTCATAGAGATCCCATTTTCATTCCTCTTCGCCACACTTTAAGCAAATTAGTGGTCAAAACACAACTATTGACACAAAACATTCTGCTTGCGAAGCAAAATTATCAACGTAGAAATTAAAAAACACTAAGTGCAGCGCAGGATGGACAAGCAGTCATGCCTGTTACCAAAGGTACTTATGCTCACCTTGGCAACCCCGACTCCAGTGAACCTGGCCTCCAGTAGTTCCTGCCTTCGTGGGTCCAGGCTATGCAATTCTTCCATCATTTCTGCTGCTATGGGAGAACAACACTCCGATTACGCAATGCAAGGAAAGGAGAGAGATTTAACATTCTGTGCCACTGACAAGACTCAGAAGTGCCTGTTCTGCAGCATAACCATGTAGAAAGCATTTTCTTGCAAGTGAAATGCAAGATTACCATGCAATAATAACACGACTTTGCCACCATGTTACTGTATGTACACCACAATCCTGCTGGAGAGTTTCCTCTTCTATCCGTTGTACCAGCCATTTCAAGATCTCTAAATCCAAGAAACCAATTATGTCACATTCTCCCACTGGATGCTTTATTAAAATGAAAACATGGAACCAGAGTGTTATGACTAAAAGCTTCAGAGCTTTTTACCCGTGCTGCATGACTAGGAAGAAAAAAAAGCAGCATTCTTTACCCCATAATTTATTTTTGGCCAATCCTGGAAATACTAGATCTCCCCGAACTCCAGATTTCACTGACAACAGCTTTGGTTCTTCCAAGCACAGAAAGGGATTATAAGCAGAAAATAATGCTCATTTAAACCTTTTACTCTCTAGAGTAAAGCATCAGATACCTCTAGCAAAACAGCTGCTTCTCTACATGGGATGTACCAGGCATACCTGCTGGCAATCCGACACAACGGATGCCATTATTTAAAGGGTTAAAAAAAAGAAACCAGCACAGTCGTGTAAACAGGTTAAAAAAAATCAGGAAATGCACAATTCGAATACTGAACTGCAAAAAAATGGGACAAATTTCAATGTTCATTATAACTGTGAATCACATCTTCCCAACCGCACCAATCAAGTTCATTTCCAGAAATGTCTGTTCCAGTTTCATTTTCTGGACTAAGGTAGGAAAAAAAAAAAAAAAGAAAGACACAGAAGATAACGATTTGCTGTATAAAGAGCATATGCGATGAGGAAAGTTCTTGAAGGGCAGCAAGTGCCCTCTAGAACAGGCAGTATACAATTGTTCCTTTTACTAACTGTCCATTTTGTTCCTGCCGTTTCCTCCAGACGCTGCAGATCTAAGTTAGAGGGGGCAAAGTGAATCCATCCGGGGGCATTTACAACTGCTCTCCCAAAGGGGGGCATTTACAACTGCCCTCCCACACCAGTAACAAGCCTCAGAAACTCATGGGATACTAAATGTGGTTACTGAGAACCCCATTTCTGCTACAGGCTTCAAACCCCCAACAAAGCTACCAGCCTAGTTTTCAAAACAGGAAATCTGTGCACCGAGGAAAATGACAGACGAGAGCGCAAAGATGTTAAAGTGCTCCCAGGTCTCTCCCCCATTACGGGGCGCTGGGCTACCACCCGGGAAGAAATCGCGTCCCCCCGCCGGGATGCTGCTCTGGGGAAGCGACTGCCACAAGCTCCCCAGCCTTCC